AGTCAGATCAGACTAGACTTTAAATATATAAATAAGGGTTGTTCTATAAAATTAGACTCGTGATATAAATGCATCATATTTTATAAGTACATCTCTTTTTCTTTTCTTATTTTAAATAAATTCTTAAAATACTTTTAATATTTTTTTATTCTCTAATTTTTTAATTTTACACCTCTAATGTTTAATTTATCACTTTTTTTTTTCACACACCTCCTTCCCTCCCCTTTTATTTTTCACATGCACCCTTCTGCCTTCCCTCCACTCGTCACTGATTTCAATAGGTATTTTTAATAAGTTTGATTATCACATTACTCTCTTTCTCCCTCCCCTTTCAGTTTTCACATCGTTACCCTCTTCATCCTCTCTTTCAATTTTCACACATGAAACGCAAAACTAATGCGCGAAGAACATTGTAGGTGTGTGTAACTTCCTCAATAGTGTTGAAGGAGCCAAGCCAACGTACATTTTTTCTTTGAGCATTTTCTCTCCTTTCACACTTCTAGAAAATACATTAAATTTAGTTTCAAAAAACAATCCTTGAAAATATTAATTTTAGTATTCCAAAAAATACTTTATGAAATACTAAAATTAATCTTTCGTAAAGTATTTTTCAGAAAACTTAATTTAATGTTTAGGTTTCTGAAAGTGCGCGCGTATTCCTTAACACCTTTGACACTGTCAAGAAAGTCGCATGTGCCTACAATGTTATGCACCAATTTTATAATTTGGGTGTGTGTGAAAATTGAAAGAGAGAGGAAGAGAGGAATGTGAAAATTGAAAGAATTAAAACTACTTATTGAAATAGATGAAGAGTAAGGAAAGGGGTGTATGTGAAAACTAAAAGAGAGAAGGGAAGGAGGTGTGTGAAAAAGAGGAGAAAGTGTTAAATTAAAAAAAAATAGAGAATAAAAAAATAAAGAAAATTTTAGAATTTTTTTTAATAAAAAAAAAAGTTGTATATATCCTTAGTCTAAAATATTTAAGTCTAAGTCTAACCTATTATTTATTATAGAATTTTTTTATAAGTCTTACATAACTTTTTTAAAAGTTTGGTTTGACTTATTAACATGTTTAAAAATCTATTTTATATAAACAAATCGATAAACTTAATTTAAATAAGGCAATAAGTCAATTTTTCAATATATGTGCTACAATGACTCGGTAAGTCATTACACTTACTATAGTTTGACGACACACAATGATAAAAATAGAACAACATACTTCATCCTAAGATTATTAATAAGAATTTAGATCTCATGCACACAATTATATGTCGCGAAATAAAAACAACATAATGTTCTTTGTACATATATACTACATACCCAAGGGAATAAATATTATATACAAAATAAACCCTACATTGTTAGTCAAACACCTATACACAATCTTTGCATCAAAACAACAACTACCAAAAAGAGTCGTTGCTAGTGTGACTCACTACCAACTATACATGTCGTCCTGCTAATTATGTCCTACTATCATGAAGAATCATGATCATCACAATCCCAACATGGAAAACATAGAGTAAGCTTGTGAAAAAAAAAAACATATAAACGCAAAGTCAACATCAATTAGACAACTTAACAACATTTCATCACACAACTTCATTTGTTCATAGATTACAACACATATAACTTCCAACATAATACAACAAAATCAACTTCATTTTAGCAATATATTCAACATGAATAACAATAAAAAAAATTGAATGTATCATCACACATATCAACTACAAAGATCTTCTGCAACTAAGGTGAGCAATTTTAGAGATTAGACCCTATTGAATCATAATGACTGGTATAAATAAGAAACAACACTAGTAGAAAAATAACCTTTTACGTCACTATTTTCTCGTCGGTTAACACAAAGAGCGACGTAAAAAAGACGTGGTGACATTTTTGTAATATTTGTGGACTTTTTTACATCGGACTTATTAAGGTCCCACGTAAAATGTAAAATTTACGTCAGAGCTATTAATGTCCGACATAAATTTTACTTTTTACGTCGGACCTTATTATATCCAACGTAAAAAAGGTTTCACCTTCTTTAAATAACGTGCTAAGCTGGTAGCTTTGTTGTTCTCTCCGCTTAAAGCCTTCGAATATTTTGCAGATCTGCGCCTTTTGCTTGCGCCTTTTGGAGCTAAAACATTCAGGCTAACATTTGTAAGAACGTTATGTTTCCTTTTCCCTTTTTTTTTTTATGTATTTTTCATTTCCTTTTCCCTATTTCCATCTTCACTACTACTTGTTCTTTTCTTCATTTTTTTTAATATTATTAGTTGCTCGGATGACTAACTCATACCCGCGTTACCTAAACGTCAATAGCATGTTGGCGTGGAGCTGGCTCTGGACCCTCTCGTTTCTTCTGCAAGAAGATGCAAGTAAACTATTTTTCCTTATCACTAAATCCACATTATCTTTTTAAATAAAAGGTCCAGGTTTTTCATTATATTTTATATTGTGTAAAAATTATAACTCATTGTGTATTTCTAAAAACTATCATACTTATCTCCCTGTCTTCCGCTTCAACATTATCTACTCTGATTTTACATATTTTGTTTAAAAATCCCTAACTAGGAGGCCCTGCCACCTTTCCTGGGGTATTTTATGATATTTTATTTTCCTAACGGTCATTTACATATAATATCATATAATCTTCCTTTTCCCCATCTTTATATTGCTATTTATTTTTATAATCAATATAGTAGTATAGTTACTATTCCTTTTTCTAGATTATAAAAAAAGGGACACTCCCTTTTTCCAACAAAATACACTGGTACCAGTTTTTGCTGGTATCAGAGCGGTTACGTTCTGGCCACTAAGAGAGATCTAGAAACTCTTATAGAGAATCTAGATAGTGTTAACAAAACTCAAAATATTATCCTTTCTAGGATAAAATATTTGGAAGAAAAAATAGATCAGGTTTTTGAAATCTTGAAAACAAAATCTCATCCAACAAACGGAGATTTAGAAAAAATTTCTAAACAACTTTCTAAGCTCAGTCTTGGAACTAATACCTCCACAATCACCAGTTCTAACAAATATATTCTAGCCAAACCTAGAAAATGACAAACAGAACTCAAACACAAACCCTTCCTTTTACAGGAACCTCACAAACCCTTACAGGACATACTCACATAGGAGAATCGATAAATAGACAACCTGGAATCTTAGACAGATTTCTTAGAAGAACAAATTCAAACACACGCCAGCTAGTAACTATTTGTTCTCTAGGGATAAATCCTAGATTATAGTCTTCGGTGCTATAGTCAAAATGGTGGATTTGGTTTGTAACACTACTACCATTGTAACTATCTCCCATTAAACCTTTGTAAGATTGGATTTCGGAAACTGGTTCAGAAACTACAGAATTAGTTTCTTCCTTTTCAAAAACTAATTTATTTTTGAAATTTTTATCATTTTCCAACCAGTTTTCTAAATCAGAATCTTCCTCGATTTCTTTGAGGATAATTTGTTCTTCTTCACATTCTTCACTAAGTTGTGAGAAGAGTTTTTGTTTAAAAATAAAATCATCTTCCTCATCTTCAGAGTCAAAGATTTCATTTTTATAACTTTGGGAAGCAACTTCCTTTTGTTTTTCCCATTTTTCTACTGCAATGAGCAGTTCTTTTGAGAGACGGCTTCTCCCTAAGGAACTTTCTTCTTTGTTTTGGGTGTAATCCGGAATGTAAGAATATCCTGTCCATAAATTCATGAAAGAATTTCTAGGAGGTTCTTCTTCTTCTTCGGGATTGTGTTCAACTATGTCATCATAATCTGCAAATCTAATAGAAAGACTGTTTCTTCGATTTGTCATGATGGCTGTTTGTGGTGCTGTAATAGCAGTTCTAGTGGATCCGGAATTAAGATGGGTTTGCCATTCAATTCCTTGGTTTCTTCTAGATTCAAAGATTTGTGGTGGAAGAAATTGTATTCCATTTGATCCTAGAGAGGTAATCAGTGGATTTGTATTGATCCTATATCTGGGAGATATATGATCACTTATTCTTCCTATAAAGGTTATATCTAAGTGGAGATTATTTCCTTCAAAATTTTCTCCAAAACCTCTAGTTTGTACTTCCAGATTTATATTTTGAATAAAATCTGCAAGATTCATTGTAAAGTTAGGAGCTATGTATATAAGGGAAACAGGTTGGTTGAGGTCAACTTCAACTATCCCTATTATGGCCTGAGAATTGTTATCCCTAAACCTTCGATCAAAAAGGACAAGGAAGGCTTTAGCTCCTACAAAGGATCTAGTTAGAGTTCTAATCCCTATAGTGATAAGTCAAAAATATTAGTTTAAACTATATGAATGTAATCTCCTAGTGGTTCAAATACTAGTTTATATAATAATGTCAAAAATACTTTAGAATTACTAAGATGAACCTAATGGTAGAGATGAGATATAATACACAAAGTTTAAGATTACCTCTCTAAACTAAAGAAACTTAGAACAAGTTTTTATTTTTTTTTATTTTTTATGTATCTTTATATAATTTAGCCCCAAAATTACAAGTCTGTTTATGATTTGTGAAATTTAACATAATATTTTTCATATCCTCACCCGTAAACAATCACATTGGATTATAACCTCATATTATCATTTATGTATATAAAATTTTAATTCTTACTCGTTCAATTCCATGTCAACCACCAATTTTGTTTGCAGCTCCACAGAGAAAGAGAGCCCTCATTACTTGATTGTACAAGTCTCAACTTGATAATCACAACATTTTTTCAAAAGTAGACAAGGAAGAGGAGAGAGATTTTAGACACCCAAAATGTTATGTCAAATGATTTTGAAACCAATTAAGAAGGATAAATGTTCTATTAACTTGTAAATCACATTTATTTTATAATTTTTCATAAATCATTTGTAATCCTAAGATCAATACACAACCTTTTCTTGAATCAACAATTTTTTATTAATAAATCCATGATTTCTAAAAGCTAATGATAACTAGACGAGATAAATATTAAGAAAATTTCAATCCAATGAAATGTTTAGAAATCTATATATAGATCATTAGAGAGATTATTCAAAAATGATTCTAAATAACATAAAAATGAACAACTACATTGATACCCAATAAATAGTTAATAAAATTGCATAATACAGTAACTGATGTTTCCCACGACACAACATCATGTGTAAACTCCATCTCCCATGTCAAGTGCAAAAATCCAACAATCACACCTTCCATTGTTCAAATTCATCGGCCATTAACATGAATGAGCCCGCATTTCGATGTCCACCACCTCCAAATTCCTAACAGAATAGAAAAATGCTTTTAAGTACAAGTATAATATAACTGACATTCGGGAGGTTAACTTGGTACTCTTAAATTCTCATTTGTGGTAAAATAATGTTTGACTAATGAAAGATAGGTTCTGTCAAGACAGATTAATTCTTAATTGTGAGTTTTGACATACTACTTAGATCATGTCCATGGAAGAAAAAAAAATATAACTAACAATAGTCACATAGAAGATGTAACTTGATGAAGGAGTAACCTGAGTGATGGGGGTTGTATCTATACTGTCCACACTCCTCAGACTTATTTTTAGCCTTTGGTCATTTTCAAGCTCTGGTACTTTATACACAACAGCACCAATACCCCTAAAAGTAAAAATAATTAAATGCATTGCAAAGATGAGTAATCAATGAGAAAACAGAAAGACCCTATTTAAATAAGAGAAGAAAATAAGGAAAAAAAAATGAAATAAAGTTTTTCATAAACAAAAATTAGTTTATACGCAAGTCAAAATCAGTTTTCACAGAAAACTAACATAAGAGAATTTCTCTAAATTAACTTGTTTATAAGCGTTTATGGATAAGTTTATTCAAACAGTTTCTAAATTTGCATAAGCTTTAATAGATGATTTGGTGAAGATATGAAGCTATTACATGTACTGTGCTTTGATTCTCCCCTAATTAAGGGATTCGAATAATCTTAGCCTATTATGGTAGTTATAAGTTCCTTGGTTTGATTTCTTTACACATTGTATCAACAGCTTCTTGAATCCACAGTATAAGAATATGATAAGATGGTATACATATACAATTTCGAGAAATTGATAACATAGATTCTTGGTCAATGCAATTGCAAAATCACAAGATGTACAAACATGTAAAACAAGTATTAAACCACCATGTTGATTAGAGAATAGACTCGAAATTTCATGTTTGAGTTCCATCGGCAAGAGTCCCTTACAAATCCCGCAAGGAAATCTATATTTTCTTAATGCTTAAATATGATTCTAATCTCTCAAATTTAAGGTAAATTTATTTTTGATATCTCAAATTTATAATTATTTTTTTAGTTCTTTTAATTTTAAAAAAATATTGTTTTAGTCCTTATATTCAAATTTTGTTTAAAGAATTTGTTCAATAATGTCACATTAAACAAAATTGATATTGCATAACTGTTTCAATTTAAATGTTATTGGTGACATGATGGAACAAATCAAGATTTTTGAAAATTACGGTAACTAAAAAAGACCGGTTTTAAATTTGAGAGACTAAAAAAAAATTTATCTTAAATTTGAGAGATTAAAAACATTTTTTTTTTAATTATTTACTCCTTTAGAAATTCTAGATGTCTACCCTTGAAATTTGAAGTTTATTTATCAAACTGATTTTAACTATATCTTTAAGTATATTATCAAGGGTTTAATTCCTGTGATTATGTGATAGGAACTGAATATACTGTGAAATAATAGAGAAAATGCTCAAAGAACAGTGATCTGATTACAAGGGTAATACGCAGGAAGTTGGAAATTGAATGAAAAATAAACAAATAAGAGCCTAACAATAACACTAAGAAATTATGGTATTGAGAATCCTTTTGCTGTCACAGAGTTAATTTCAATGAAACAAATTTGTTGAAAGATTTCAGGAGGAAACAAATACCCAGTTATATAAATTAATTCCTGAACTCAATCAAATTAACACTTTTCCCCTCACATCAATATCCTTCTTAGAGGTTTGTTAAGAAGAAGAGGGGAAGAGGAAAATCATTCAATTTCTACCATATAACCTTTTTAATACTACAACTAGGACATATCACTAAATAAGGGATTTTCCAATAACTCAAATAGAGGATAAAGCATTGTGATTTAACTAACAGTGACAAGAAAATTAAATCAACAAACCTCAACTTCATTTTCTGACTTTTAGTAGCTAATTGATGCCCCAATTCACTTCTTAACTGTGAAAGAGTAATATCTGCATTGACAGCCTACAAAATACAAATGGTTGAAAACAGCAAGATTTTCATTTGTTCTCTCCTTCAAACCATGAAAAGGTGGCAGAAAACACAACAAAAAATATATGTATTAAAAATTAGCAACATGCATGCATAAGCAAAATTGCAGATGATGGCTTCAAGAAATTTGACTGCAAAAGCAAGGCATAGAAGGGAAGGAAATAGAGAGATAAAGAAGGAAACATCAATCATACCAGGCAATGACCAAATACACCATTTCCAAGGGCGATTTCATATGACTTGCTGAGACAATCATCGATTAATTTTTGCTTGTGTGATAAGCTCAAAATGCCTTTACTAATAATAGTATCCAAGTCCAATGAAAGCAACTGCCATAATACACAAAATTGTCAGCTATTTCACCTATCTACATAAAGGAAGGACATAAAAAATGTCAGCGCATCTCACAATCATGGTGGCACCTATCCTGTTTTCAACCAACAAGGTGTGATGTGACATGGTGATAGATAATCTTATTTCTTAAATATGTGATCAGGGATTGGATTTGATTAGTGTGTATGAAAAAACATTTGTTAGGAGAGGGTAATTCCTTAAATGAATCTTAGTAACTTGATTCGTGATTAGCTTTCAATGAGGGGATATCTTGGTTTACGAAACAAAAAAAACCTATCCTGTTTTCACTTATCTCAGCAACACAAGTGTGAAACAAAGAACTATCACTCCTACTGAGGCAAGGAAAAATCATGCAAACAACTGTATAGAACCAAGAGTGAAGTGTCCACAAACCTCAGAATAAGGTAGAATCACCACAATGAACTCATGGACATATTTTTAGGAGAAAACAAGGGAGCAATCTTGCACTTTGCAACTTAGCGTTCAAATTAGACAACACAAACTCAAATACTACTGCTACCACTACTACTAAAATAAGAGTCTAATTTTAATATATTGGTAGTGTAAAGATTTGTAACTTTATTATAAAAGTCAACAATTCTGAGTTATATGACAACCTATGATTGGATGACAGTATTTACACTATCGATGTATTCCAATTAAATCTAACAATAAAACATGGAAGTTGGAAAACAAAGTAATAAGACAAAGAGGGTCAGGCAATAACCTGGTCAAACAAGGAAGCGTTTTTCCTGGCATCAAATTCAATGTTCAAATCCTTCAAACCACTGCTAAAAGCTTTGCTGTTTTGGAGTCTCCACCTCCAAAGGTCACCGTCTTCAATATACTGAAAAAGTTGCCTGACACGGTCAAATTCATCAAGCACTGAGGGGTGCTTCACCACAGCATCAGGACTCAAAAGCTTATCTTTGAAGTAATCAAAAGCAATAGTAGCCCCACTCCTCTCCATGTCAATAACCTTAACCACATTCTCACCAAGTGAAGCCTCATTGCCTAGCCTCTCAAGGGCACTTTTGTGATGATCCAAAACAATCACCCTACACCCCAACAAAGCAACACAAACCAAGATAAATCAATTCTATATTACCCTTCCAAAACAAAAACTTTTTTTTTTCAAAATGCACCTTGGAACCTTGGTGGAGATTTCCTGAACAAAACCATCAGGCCCCACAAAATCTAAGAGGTAAAGATCATCAATCTCATTCAGAGGAAGATCTTCTGCACTGAAAATTGCAAAACACCCCAAATAAAAAACAATGAAACAAGAATCGTGGCAATGATTGAAATCAAAATGAAGGGCACAATGAGTAAACACTGAATGAGGCAAAACCTGAGGGGTTTGAAAACAGTGTTGGGAAAGAAAAGAGGGGAGAACAAGGAAGTGGCCTTAAAGTAAAGGTGTGCAGCAAGGGCAGCAAAAGCACCATCGGGACAAGGATAGTGATACAGTATAGCAGGGGAACAATTATTGCTATTGTTACCCTTCTTCTTCATACTCATGTTTATGATGGCATTGGAAATGTTGTTGTTGTTGTGAAGTTTGGCTTGTGACAGCAACATGGAGCAGGTTCGGTTCTGTTGGATTGTGACATCATTCATTCATATCATGTCTCGTGGCACAAACACTATGCTTGTGTGTATGGGAAGAGGATCTAGTGCAGTTTGAGATTAACGACACGTGGTACAGATTCTCAATCCAATGGTTATTGTTTCACTTTTAGTTTTGAAATTATGTGTATGATAAAATTGGGTTAATTTTTATGGCTAGGATTGGGTGCAGTAGGTGATTCTTTTCACATAGCTGTGATGAGATACATTCAGTTAGGGATTCAGAGACGGCACTCAAATATAGGAAAGAGATAGATATATCTATTTATTTTCCTCTACAAAAGCTTAGGTTAGTCGGATTTGGAAAGCTCGTAAGGTCGGGTCAGAGATATTAAGAATCAAACTACACTTCCAGAAAGTATCTAGGAAGAAAAAAAAAACTTTAAAAATATTTTCATAAGATAAACATATACTTTCAAAATAACTTTTCACACAAAAATATTTTGTTTTTTTTAAAATATATTTTAAGAACCAGAAAATATAGTTTTAGATCAATAATGAAAAAAATATTATTTTTAATTAATAATTCATAATAAAATCAATAATTTAGAAATGATGTCTTCATAACATTTACAAATTTATATCTAATGTGTGTTTTGATTACCAAAAAAAAAAAAAAATCAAGAAATAAAACGTAAAAAAGAAAACGGGAGCTATATGAAGAGTCATTAAAGAGAATGTAAGAAAATGAGTGAAGGAAAAAAAGGGTGATAGAAGAATATAAGTTTTAGAAATAAAATTTATTTAAAATAAATAAATTAAAAGGGTATTTAAGGAAATTTTTGAAAAAAGAAGAAAAAGAAGTCAGGAATATCTATTAGTAAAGGGATGTCTATATAACATTTGTCCTAGATGAATGTAAAACCCACAAGCGCAAGCAATACAAAAAGCATCTCCCATTAGTTGAGTGTCCTTAAAAGAAGATGCAGAATGAAAAAAAAAAATATTATTATTATTATTAACGGATAAAGATAATTCATATTTTATCATAGCATTTGTCATTGTCACTTAATTTGTCTCCCAAATAATATGTTTGAATGAGATTGTTTGGATTTAGATATCTAGACTCTTAATCTCTCTCACTAGAGAAAAAAACACATTTGGACTTTTAGATAATCTTCTAAATATTTGTTTAAGAACCTATTTTTGTAATAATTTAAGACTAAGATATAAGTGAAAATAAACAAGTTAGGTTTTATAAAAATGGACTTTAATTTATTTATATGATATTAGTGGAGATGAGATATTTCATGTTTATTTTAATACATGTAATATAATAATTAAAATTAAAAAAAAAAAAGTGAACTCAGTTTAAAAGAGAGTTAGGATTATTTAAGGAGAGAATGTAAAATTGACATATAAGATATTAACAAATAAAAGAGGGTTATGATTATTAAAAGGTAAATATGTCTTTAAGAGAAGTAGAAACTAAAAAAATGATATTTCTTTTGTTTATTTTTATATATAAACATATTTTTTAAGTTTAATATAACATTAATAATAATTTATTTAAAACCATATTTTGTAATAAAATTTCTAAATAGAACAAGATTTATCTTTCAATAACCTTATAAATTTGATTTTTTTTATACAAGTCAAGTCAACGTGTTCAATATTTAAACAGATAAATGAATATATAATTTTAATCTATCTATATTATTAATAAAAATGATACACATTTTTTTATGTACATTTTTTGTTGATCATTTTGTTCCTTAGCTTTAAAAATACTCTTTTTCTCCCATACATTTTTTATTTAGTTTTATTCTTTGCTTTTATTCCTTTTTTGGGTAATATAAGATAAAAATCCAAAAAAGCAAAGAAATTACAGCCTCAAAGACAGAATTCCATTGGCATTAGCTAAGAGATAGAGTCTTAACTCAACTGGGGCAACTCTAGCAACAAAGTACCAACGTTCGGGTCCAATTTATCTAAAAATTAGCACAATTTCCTTCTCTAAGAGTATGAACCATTTGCTAGTTCCAAGGTTTACACATGAAGTCTCTAATGTTCTGGATAATAGTCACATATTTATTACTCTCTCCATTTTTTATCATAGTCATTTAAGGTTTTGCACATGACTTAAGAAAATGATTGAAATTTTAGTTTTCAAAAATATTTATTACTTATTTTCTTATTCTACCCTCTATTTTTTTTTATAGTATTTTTCTCATTTTTACCCTTGATAATTAATGTATGTTTACTGAACAATGTGACTATTTATTTCTAATGTCTACCTATTTTTTCTTCAACTACCGATGTAAAGTTAATGTTGCATTTAAAAGGACAATATGTTTCCAACGAAATACTATAAAAAAAATAGAGGGTAGAATAGGAAAGTAAGTAATAAATATTTTTGAAAACTAAAATATCAATCATTTCCTTAAGTCCCTTGCAAAACCTTAAACGACTATGAATAAAAAACAGAGGGGGTAATAAGTCATTGATTTTAATACTCCCTCCGTTTTTTTTTTCATAGTCGTTTTGTCAGAATTTGTTATTTTTTTTCATTGTCATTTTACTAAAATTAATGACTTATTAATTTTTTTTCTCCATTTTTACCCTTGATAATTAATACATGTTTATTAAATAATGTGTGTATTTATTTTTAATGTCTACCTATTTTTTCTTCAACTACCCATATAAAGTTAATGTGTATTTATAAGAGCAATATGTTTCCAACAAAATACTATAAAAAAACAAAAAAAGGGACAGGTATAATTAGGTTACAGTTCACGTGTAATCAATACATTAATAATTAATAGAGTAGATTGCAGTTCAACAGTCTCAAAAATACAAAAAAAAATAGAGGGAAAAATAGGAAAGTAAGTAATAAATATTTTTGAAAACTAAAATATCAATGATTTCCTTAAGTCTCGTGAAAAACCTTAAATGACTATGAAAAAAAACGGAGGGAGTAAAATGACAATAAAAAAAAACGACAAATTCTGACAAAACAACTATGAATAAAAAACGGAAGGAGCATAATAGCATGTGGTCGACTAACTTCAAGATATGGGTAGGGTTTGAGACATAAATTATAGCCCTAAACCACATCCTCAAATTACTCAAAACATCTTACATTCTTTAAATAATTACTCAAAATTACTCGTATCATTTAATTGTTAACTACTCACACATATTTAAACGTAATTTTTTTAACAAATATATATTAATAATAAAAAAAATTTACTAGGTAAAATTGGGAACATTGTAATATTATATTTGTTATATTTATGAGAATTTTGTTTATCTTAAAATATATTATAATACAATTGTTATATTTACTTTAAACTTAAATATATTTTTAATTCTCATAATTATCACACCGTCTTGTTTAATTTTTATAATTTTTTTAATCATTTTAAATTCTTAACGTTGTTTTTGTATTCTTTTTTAAGTTCTTATTACTAACTCTAGTTAACTTAGTGTTAAAATAGTTAATAAAATATAAAATATTAATGAAGATAATTAAGATAACAAATAATATTTTAAATTAAGATAATTAAGTTATTTTTATTAAGTTATTTTCATGTACATAATTTAATTGAGTTATATATTTATTATTTTATATAAATAAAATAATTATATATAATTTTTTTAATATATTATGAATGATTATTTTTTATTACTTTAATATTGTTCTTACTTTTCAATCTACTAATTCATTTTAACATTGTATTTTTTATAAAAATTAAAATTTACTTAAACACTTATAATTTATTTTTAATATATTATTTTTATCTTTAGAGACAATATTACTACTTATAATATATTAAAATAAATAAATTATATTACAATAAATAAAAATTAATGAATTTAAATTTAAAAACAGTATTAAAAGTAAGATATTAAAAATGGGTCTAACTAAATTATATTTTTTAAAAAATAAAAAATGGAAAATTAACAATAAAATTAAATGTAATAAAATTGAATTTTGATAAAAATTAAATTAATAAAAATCATTGTTCATAATATATTAAAAATAAAAGTAAAAATAAATTATAAAAGTAAGTTATATATAATTACCTTAATTATATATAAAAATACATTACTTAATTAAATTATGAACATAAAAATAATTTAATTTTTAATGTAAAATATTTTTGTTACCTTAATTATTTTAATTAGTATTTTGCATTTTATTACCTATTTTAATACTAAATTAACTAGAGTTAATAATAAAGACTTAAAAATAAAAATAAAAAAATATATATAAAGCATTTGAAAGTGATAAATTTATTTTAGAACTAAAACAAGACAAAGTGATATTTACAAAGACTTAAAACATATTTAAGCCTTTATTTTCTTTTACAATGTAATTGTATTATAAGCTTATTTAGAAAAAAAAATATTTGAAACTTCTTCATAATTTGTAAATTTTTTTCATATTAATTTTTTAATAGCTCATTTTTAATTTATAAATAAACTAATTTTAGTTTAAAAAAAATATATTTAATTTAATTTAATTTTTTTCTTTTTAAAAATATTTCAACATAAATTTATCCCAACAATACAAATATGATAAAGGATTGAGTTAGTCAATTTTATTCCTAATTTTTATCATGTCTAAATTTAGTCAAGTTCAAATTAGAATAAATAATTCTATCAAATTTTTTAGTTGAATCTCTTTGACTGCTCCATTCAATCTCACGCTCACAAGTGAATTTGCAAAGTAGTTTTAATCAGATATGTTTCAATACATCTAAAAAATTTAATATCGTTTAAGAATCTAGATTAGGAATAGTTTATACATATTTTTCTTCCTTTAACTTATTATGGTACCTCTTAAAAATAAAACCTTATCAATTCAACATTTATTAAAATAAACTATTTTAAATACAGTTATCTTAAAGACACTAACAAACTTATCGTAACATTGATCCCAAAGGACTCAAGTAAAAAAAAAAAAATAATAATAACTAAACTGAATTTATCATCTTGTTGTGATTATTATTAAATAAATAAATAAATAAAATTAAAGTTGGGTAATGAACTCAGGGTGTAAACGAATACCCGGTTCAGTCGAGCCCATATAAACTCCAACTTTAGTTTGGCAGTGCCGAGGAAACAGTTGCAACTTGCAATGGCTAACAACGTTGTTGCTGTTGTTAAGGTACCTGCTATTTCTCTACCTTCATTACCCTTAACGAGTGATCCTCTCACTCTCATCCATAAGATTCAGAGCCAAAGACTCACACTTCATCTGAATTGCTCCCAAACCAAAAACACAACAACCTCATTCCCTTCTACCCTCTCAATCTCATCATCACCCCTCACAAACAAAACTAGTTGCTTTGTGTTGGCGTGTCTCCCTCCTGCTTCTTCTGAACCCTCCACCTCATCTTCCACTGCCAAACCCTCTTCTCTTTCTCATCCAACTAAGCTTTATGTTAGTGGTCAGTAACTCTCTCTTATCCCGCTTGTTACCCTTTTCGTTTTTCTTATCCAAATTGATCTTGAATTTGGCTGCGAGTGGTAAAGGTTTCAGCTTTTTCCTTTTTCCTTTCGTGGGTCTCCCCCCAGTTGGGTGCTGGTGGTGGTGTTGAACGCGAACAGTTTTAGTTGTTGTTGCAAATGGGAAATTGGGATGAAAAAAGGTTTTTCATTTACTTTTAGGATGAGGACTAGTTTGATTGTGAAGGATGGTTTAGTATTCTCATTGAGAAGAGGTTGTTTTATATGAGTTTTGGCATTGGGAAGCTTTGGAATGTTGTGTAGCGGCTGAAATGGTGGTGCCATGTTTAACTGGTTACTGAGATTAGGAGGAAAGGGGCAGTGGTATGGATTTGGTCAGCAGAACATAAGCGAAAGCCTGGTATTTTTGTTAGGATTATTGTGGATTTGATTTTGAGCATAATTCAGTGGTGGAAATTCTGCACTGTACAATGTTTTGCTACCCTCAATAATTTAGTATAACGGTGGAAGAAGGGAGAATGAATTCTCTAGCGTGAGATTTTCACTTGGATTCCACCATCAAAATCCCATGCCTCCTCCTTCTTCTTCTTATTATTAAAATCTTCTCTCTCTTACTTTTAATTAAGGGCTAAGATTCTTCTAGAAAGAAATTTCACATGAAGAAAAGATCTAAACCCGGAAGAAGGTGACCATTATCTCTAGCTTCTATTCAGTGTTAACACTAACATCGTATTGTTATTTATTTATTTATTTTTTCTGCAATCAGTAACATCATCTTGATGTCATTCATATACCAGATGTGATTGCTCTTGATTCAGTATCCCTTTGCCATATTTTGCTACAGCCTATCGATAGTATTCATTATTGTTTGATGAATATATTGTTTGAATTATTGCAATTTGTTATCAATTTCTTTGATGATTAATTGTTTATATGTATATTTTTGGACAATAACGTCATAAATGTTATTTTGCGTTCCTTTCAGGGCTATCATTTCGTACCACGGAAGAGAGTTTGCGAAATGCGTTTAAGAATTTTGGTCAACTTGTGGAAGGTAGGATGTAGGAAGGAACAGAAAATTTTGATCTTTTCCTCTTTGTCAATTATGCTATTTGACTAGAATTTAGGGTTTATTGTCTGTTATTGATTTGCCATTTCTAATCAATTTGGCAACACTCTTACTTCTAAATATATGCTTAACTTTATAAACAGTCAAGCTGGTGATGGATAGAATCGCAAATAGACCAAGAGGGTTTGCTTTTCTTCGATATGCAACTGAAGAAGAATCTCAGAAGGCTATTGAGGGAATGCATGGAAAGGTACGAATTTGTTGTTTCTTATGGCGTTTTCACTTTTGAAAGCTCAGATATATAAATGGCAGTTTATCTTGTTCAGGAGACTAATATGGAGAGGCAGCGTTTTTGCAACGTCCACTGGTTTGCTAACTATAAGTTAGAATTTTACTTGATTCTTTGTGTTTATTCTATGACTAACTTTTATAATGGCTATCCCAAGGCTTATCTTGGTTACGAGGGTGAATTTTTGAAGTGAATGAATAATATAATCATAATCATGATTCATTTATGTTGCAAACTAATCCAGAAACTATATTGAACTTTCTAAGCGAGAAGTGAGTAAAAAATATTGCAGGATTCTTCATGTTATTGGATGAGATTTATCCACTGTTTTTGAAACATTTGATTTTTCAATTGTGAAGATTTGTAACTGGTTAAAATTTGATGTAATCAAATACTCGCATATTATTCACTTTGACACACTTTCTGTCAAATATCAATATAAGACAATTTATTTTAATATGCTCCCTTGGACTCAGGGTTTAAGTTGATGTAATATCTTGATGTTCCCAGGCTTCAAATTTGAATCTCCATTTTTTGTTTCCTTTTTCTTTCCTATTTGCTATATTTAATTCACCTAAAAGAGTTTTAAGCTATGTTGGATACTGACAAGAAAGGAACCCACTTTTTCAGTTCTTGGATGGTAGGGTCATCTTTGTGGAAGTTGCCAGACCGAGATAAGAGCTATGCCAAAGGCACAAGGAAGACACCAAATTATAATGAAAATCCAAAGGATACATTAGCCACATGTTCATCTTGTTGTGTAATCTGTAGAATCGTTGCTGCATTGTACTTGACACTATAAAAGACCCCTACTTGATTAAACATGTTTCAGGCTTCAGCAATGGAATTCATTTAAGCACCAATTGTCATTTCCTTATTGTTGCGCTATATTGTCAAACCTTACAAACGTCAATGACGTCTGCTTAAGTAATTGTTGTCAGAAATCAGAATTTTGAATGCCGACTTGCCATCATCAATTAGTTACTAATAAATTTTGATCATCATTGTATACCTTTTAATATTTATAGGAAAAGTGGGTTATATTTTAAGTATTGACTTTACATTTAGCCAAAATAAAGAGCACTGTATGGATATTATCACTTTTTCTAACAAATTATTAGGAAACATTGAATTGAAGTGGATTATCACTATTTTGATTACCAAATCATTCAGCAAGGAACGCTTATGATTTCACTCTAGTAATCAGCTTGGACGATAGGGAATGAGCACAGGAACTGTAAATTCAACAAGCACAAGTACTGTAAATTCAACGATGAAGAAACAATGTTTATAATCTATTATTAAAAAAATGACACACAAAATGCAGATATACAAATTGCTAAGGTGACACTGTTGAGACTAATACATCACGTCATTTTGTTTTCAAGAGCCAGTTGTTATGACAACCACAAGTATTTGATGTTTAGTGACATGGGGTGTTTGTCTACGTTTCCGGGTACACCCTTCATCAATGATGCAATCATGCAATTAAAAAGACACAAATGTCAAAAGTAGAAATAAAACAGTGACGACAGAGTTGCTGCTATATGTCTCTGGTTTAAGTAACTGTAACAAGATACAAGCCAGAACTTGAGTTATTGGACATGAAGTGTTCAGGTGAATGAAAGAAGAAAGATCATAATGGAAAAAAGAATTGGAAATCAGATGCTTGTCAATTAGACAATTAGATCACAACTACCTAAATCAGGTCCTTATTTCTCTCTCTCTCTCTTTTTTTTTTCTTTTTTTTTTTTCTGATTAACAGCATGAACTATGAAACATCTAAAAATGAAATGTAAGGCTATGAGCACACACGAGCTCGTTGCCCCTCCCTCTCTTCCATGGCAACAAGTAAAGAATTTCCATCTCTTTCAGCTAAACATCTTTTATATGGTACAAACCCCCTTGAAGGCTTCTTGGGTGCAGCTCCTTCCTCATTATATTTTTGACACTGAGAGTCAACAACATCTGAGTTCTTGCTTTGGTTTTCCATCTCACAAACTAATTCAGTGTTGGAACCAGTGCAACAACTTTCCTCCTCCCTTGATCTTACTTTCAAAGAGGGCCTAATAGACATGGGATTTAGGATCTGATTGCAATGCTCCATGTAGAAAGCTGGAAGGCCTTGGTACAAAGTCCAACACGGCAAAGATGATGATGCATCAGGTGCACATTCACTGAAACATAGGTTCTCCTTTGGGGGCTCTATGCTGGTCACATTAGCTCCATCAGCATCAGGTGTTAAAGGCCAGTTACCATTAAAGCCTAGCGACAATTGTGTATCTACTTGCTTGGATTCGCCTGACTGGTCAGGCTTTTCATTCTCCACATCATCCAATTCATCAGACTTTACAGTTATTGGCTTACCATTCTCATCATTTAGGTTCATTGACTTCTGATTACCTATCGTAGAGACTGTTCTTCCAAAAAGCTTAATACTAGTGGTTTGTGGCATGTTGGCAGCATCTTCTATGAAACATTCAGTGTCCTTAGAACTAAACTCGGACTTCTGTGGTAACACCAGAGAATTTGAAAATCAGTAAAACCAACGATTTATTTTAAAAGCTAAATCATAGAATACCATGAAGTTTATCATACCATGCATGTGTTTGGGTTAGAAACAGTGGATAAAGGAACTGAAGCTGGCGATCCTTTCTCTTCCTCTTCGGATGCTTTGGATGTCATGCAATCATTTTCCTTTTCGACAGGTGACAAGTTGACTGAGTGAATATCAGTGGTGCAAGAATTTGGTGAAAGGCATCTGTTAGTCTGCTCCGAAAATGCAGACCCAAATGCTTCTGAACCAACTGTAGATAGCACTGAGGTTGGAGACGGGGTGTCTTTCTCTGCAACTAACAGGTTTGTAGATGGAGATATTTCTGTTTCATTTGATATGGTGTGTCCTTTGAAAGAGTTAACTGATTTCCGAGGATATGGATGGAGAGGTTTTCTCTTAGGCCGAGGAGGAGGTATGTTAATTGGCTGTATAGAACTCTCAGCACTGACCTCAGATTCCCTCACAACCTGAAACCAAGTAAAGAGCATGATGTTTGAGAATCCAATTCGCCTCTAACTTTAATGCTATTAAATTGAAAGTGATCAAAATCCTTTACTTTCTGGTAGAAATAGGTCTATGGAATGGAATGGAACAATCAAATCCAATTCTATGAAAATAGCATCCATCATACCAGTAGAAAGTATATTCTGAAATTTAAATAAATAAACAATTATAATAATAACCTTAGAGAAAAACTTTTGAGCATGGCTTCGAATCTGAACAGCAGTTTTGGTACCTATATGCTCTGCATGAAGAGAAAATGACTTCACCTGACTTGACAACAAATGAAATAATCATTTGCTTCAGATGAATAAATAGAACATGGAGTTTACCTTCAATTTGGCGCCAGCCACGACCATACAATTTCAAAGCTTCAAGGAACTTTTGATGCTCTTCCTCTGTCCACTTCTCCCTTTGTTTAGTAATGGTATATGGTTTCCTCACCTGATGAAAATCAAAACAAGTTTCAGGAACCAAAGCTAGAAGAGGAACATAGTGGCAGTTCTTCAGCCATATTGCTCCATGAAAAGGGAAACAACATTTTAATATGTAAAGCAAAGCAACCTTGGGGGTATGGCTGTTTCCAACAGAAGGTATATGAGCATCATTTTCAGATTGCTTTCCACCACTGGAATGGCCGTTACTAGCTGAGCCAAATATGGTTGATCTAATGCTTTCTATTTGGTCCTACATTCAATTGTAGCAAATGAATTAATAACTTTCCTCCAATGAAAAAACGTGAACAAATGAAAAAGAAATGGATAATTTCATCATGAAAGAAAATGATGCTCACTAGAATATATTTCAGTTCCTTTTAAGAAATAAAGTCACTGGATGAATTCATATTTGAAATTCTCTTTTTTCCTATTAAAAGAGGAGAAAAGTCTCCAGAAGAGTGAACGTAAGACGAGTGGGACCTGCTTCCAACCAATCAGCAGCATGTTATTTAGTGTCTACAAGGGCTTAGTTGTCACCTCTTTCAAACACACATGCTAACCAGTGTAACTATACTATAAGCCAAAGCAAATATTCGTTTATACTATAGTTACTAGAAACTACTCGGCCAATAATGTCATTAATGAAAATAATCAGCTGATGCCAACATGGTTCCTTTTACGTAGTTCCTGTCCAAAACTTCTAAGCAGTAGTTAAAATTCTCTACTACGTTGCACGGATATGGGTACGACTTTGGTACCCGATACAAGGTTTTAAATGAAGGTTTGAAACTGCAATTGCAGTCACATTGACCAAATTTGATTATACTGTTTCATGAAATCAAGGTTTTTGGACTTTCTAAAACCACAATTGCAATTTAAAACCTACAACATATGCATGGGATAAAATAAACTTCAAACATTAAAAGTAAAGGTCCATTAATATACTTTTAAAAATACAATTCAAAACTAACATAAATAGAATAAAATATTTGTATATTGTGAAACTTGTACAATAGAAGACATTAATAAATCCGCATCTCACGAGAATGGATGAATGGATTTGATTGGAGTAACAAAAAAGGAAAAACTGATCCAAACCGAAAAAATCCCTAATCCTAACTGAAAAACTATCGACCTTTTTTGGAAAAAAATGATCTAGGTAGTATATAAGACAAACCTAACCATACCCCAAGCCACGCCTTCTTTAATTAGAGTCACATTCAAGTCACCTAGCCATTGTTCTTTCAATAAATACCCAATTACCAAATGATATATCCATGCTTCAGAATCCCCATAATATATTTAGATGCCACCGACGAAACACATCTACCTTTTCTCTCATAAGAATAACAGCTCAAAGCAGTACTAGAAATCTGAATTAAGATGATCAGATCAAGAATTGTATTGATAATACTCCTAAAAATTAGAAGCCAATAAACTGGAAATTTGAAAAGCACTTTACACAACCATAATTGTGTGATCGAGCTACCATTCAAACACCTTGTCAATTTGATATCTTTCGAGATAAACTATTGAATAAATTATAAATCTATCAATGTTCCAATCCGTTTCCCATACAACTTCCACATATGAGACATAGCTTCTACACAAATAGAAGACTAACAGCTCCCAAAAAAAGAATCACCCTCAGTTCCATGTTTCTAATCATTCAGCTCCCAAATTGCTAAAAAAAAAATAAAAAAGCAAAGGGTGTTCGAAAAACAGTGGCAGCTTGGACTGTTCCTTGTTATACCTGCATCTCCATTGGAGCAAAATGAGAGAGTCAGCTCTGCCTCAGAAAACACCCAAACCTCCACAGAGACCAACCCCAGCAGCCAACAACAAAACAGCTGTCACCAATCAAACCACACCAAAAAAAAAGTGAATTTTTTGGCAAATAAAAAAGATCACATAGCATTTTTCATAATCTCCACACTCTCTATGTTACATGTTATCTCTCAGATACCATTTAAAAAAAAAAAAAACAGCTCTCTTTTTTCTTCTTTCAAATACAACTTCAAGAACCAATGCACAAATCAGATCAATCAGTTACCAATGCCAAAAACACGTAAAGAACTGAATCCTAATCATGTTGTTCTTGTTCCAAACACAAAAATTGAGAACAATGGATACCTCGGAATTTGGGACACCCCAAATCGGGAAATCTGGATTCAACAGTAAAAGCGTTAACTTTCTCGGAAAATATGAAACTTTCCGAGAAAATCAAGGCACCCCGGATGAAGAATCGGAAGAGAAGGACAGAATGAGGAAGAAGGTGTGAGCAGAGAAGGGGAAGAGAAGGAGAGAAAGAGAGAGATTATAAATTACGAAAAATAAAAATAAAAAAATGAATAAGGGAAAAATGAGAGAGTGACACGTCAGATTGGGAAAATATTTTGGGAGAAAAAATAAAGGAAAAATAATTTTCCATGGAGGATTCGAGAAGCCATTGAGGTTTTGTGGCTGACAACGGTCCGGGCCCAAAGACACGTGGCGACTGCTTGTGATGTCTGATATTTAATTTTGATTGGGAAAAATAAACATTTGGTGGAAATTGGAAAATGTGGTGATGCAGATTTTATTGTGGAAGCCATCCGTGCTGAGAAGATAATTCACAAGATTTTTATTATAACAAAATATGAGTTTTTTTACACTTGTTAATAATATATTTTTATTTATTTATTTAATTAAATTAAAATAAAAAAATATTATTAATAACTTTGATTGATTATTAATATAAAAATTTTTATATTGACAGTGAATAAGTGATTAACTTATAAGATATAAGATTTTTTTTTTCTGTATTTTAGTGTGCCTTTTTTGACTTATTGTCATTTTTGATTTTCTTTTCCTCTACTTCTAACATGTGAATCTGAACCTTGAATGAGTGTTTTTTTTTCCCTAATATATTATAGAACATATTGTGAGGATACGTATATGGCTAATATTATTAAAAGTTTCGATTGATTATTTTTAGTTATTTTCTTTATCAACAAGACTTAATCTTAAAATCTCATTTAAGTGAACTAACTCAACAATTTGTTGATCTTGGCCGTAGGATTCTGGTACAATATTGAAATATTTTGTTTTTGATAATTAAGTTGTGAAGTCTTTATCAATTACTATTTTTTTTGTTGAAATATTTAAGAGATTAAAGTTTATGTATTGATAATATAAAATAATGCCATGCTGTTGATCATTTAGATATTATTGTTGGTATGATTTATTTATTTATTGATTTAAAATTTAATAAAATTATTGTAAATAATAATTTATAATTAAATGATATATAAGATTATTTTACACTAATAGTATATCACCTATTTACTCATAATCTATTTCAACACTTTTATTAAAAATTTATTTTCTAATATAATTTTTTTTCATATACATGATTAAAACACGAGATTTCATTTGAAAACATCTTGTTCTAATTTCACTCATATTGACATTTAGTTTATGTTTAGGTATAATAATAAAATAGTAACGGGATACATTATTAGAATAAAAGTTAAATTCAAATTTAGACAAATGGTTGATACTTAAATACTAAAATTGGTATATATTATGAAAATGACTTTTTCAAACCACTATTTTTGACTAGGAAAAATAGTTTTTTTAGTATGCTTGTAAACATATTTAGTAAATGAATAAAGAAATAAGAATAAGTATAGTAATTGACATAAGCTTTAATATTAGTATAATAGACCTTTAATAGTTTGTGTTTGGGGTTTGAAATGATTATTAAAACAAGATAATATTTTTAATGACTCCAATTAATATTTAGCACATCAATTATGTGAGTGTCACACCGGTCTAGTCATGCTTGTCTTAATTGGCTTTAGTTATAGTTAGCTTACAATTAGTTCAAATCAAAGGATAATTATTTATGTATTAAATCAAATGGCATAATATAAAATTCCAAGCGTGTGGTTCAGCGGTAGGGGTTGATCCACCCTTAAACAAGGTCAGGGGTTCGAATCCTGCCTTGTGTATGCAGCCGCGTTAAATCTTAGGGCCAGCTATCCCACCCTCCAACGTAGCGAGGAGATTAGTCACTACTGTCGGCGATGGATACTCTAGCAACGAACAAAAACTAATAAATTAATAGCGTTTACTTTAGCTTAAGGTAGGAACACAGGACATCGATCAGTCCAACAAAACAAACACACTTTCAGGTGATCCAGCAAAATCTAAGGTGGGTGTTGAAGACTTGTCAAACACAATGATTTTTGGGAGAAAAATGTGAAAGTCGAGGCCACAATTTTATTATTTTATTTTTTATGTGAACTAATAAATGTGATAATTGCAGTTATATATGTGATAGATATTTTAAAAATCAGACTTTTCAAAGATATCCAAGTATATACTCATATCTGATTTTATCGCAGTGTATTAGTTGAATAAATATAATAATTCAATGTAAATTTAATATTATATAATTAATATATTAAGTAATAAATTAATAAATAAATAAAAAAGAGTTAGAGTCACGTAAAGTTATAAATCAAGTTGTGAATAAAATATTTAAGCATATACAACGTAAATACAAATCAATATGTACACAATTAAATAATCTCTACCAGAAATGTTATATAATATATAAAGTGTCACCATAAATAATATATATATATATATATATATACATAATTTTAGTATTAATTTTGAATCATATTTAATAATATATATTATGAGTTTATAGTTTTTTAATAATATATCAATATATATTATTTACACATATTATATACACATAATTTTAATATTAATTTTGAATCATATTTAATAATATACATTATAAATCATTATAATTATGAATTACTATGTATATATTTTTTTAACAATATATCAATATATATTATATTTATATATAGATAAAAATAATTATATTACTATAAAATATGAGTCATTACATGATATTTTTTTTCGTAGTGAATAATTAAAAAAATAGAATATTGACATATATGAGTTAAATGGAGAGGTCAAATTAATGTATCATCTTATGCCATATATCTTAAAGTAACTGTCAGTATTAGACTGACATAAGAATCGGGAAGTTTAATTTAAGAAATTAAGTGAGAGAAATGAAAAGGAAAGAAGAAAAATATATAGTATAAAATGAGACAATTTGTTAGGTAGTAGAAAGAAATGAAAGGTTGTCTAGTTGTGTAAAAAATGTATATAAAATAACATAAATATTCCTATAATAGAAAATAGATATAAAAGGAGAATTTGGTATTTTTAAAAATTTACATGCATTCTTTCATCATTCTCTCCATTTCTTGATGGAAGAGGTTTTGAGTTGAGATGGATCTCATCAGTTATCTACCTCACCAAACCTAGCATTGATCTTGTGGATGCTTTCCCTTTTTTTTTTTCCTTCCTGACATAATGTCTAGAAAAGGTAGCATAGTTCAAGTTTAGTAAAGTTCACTCTGTTTGACTATAAACAGAAAAATTGACTCAATAGACTTAAATTGGAGCAACTAATAAGCAACAAGTTCCTTAATATTCAAAGACTTTTATTATTTGGCCAAAAGGTAACTATGTTACATAAGGAAGATAGTTTATTATCTTATTAACTCATCTTGTTAAGAAAATTAGGATTTACAAAAACAACAAAACTTCACATTTAATGTGCAACTTTAACCCTAACTACCTTATACTTTAAGAAATAACATCAATGTAAATATGAATATTTGTTGCATACAAACATTTACGTAATAAAATAGGATATGGAGTAAATTTTTACTATCTTTTTTCTAGAATCATAATATTTTTGTTGTTATATAAAAATATAATTTGTATATGTATAAACATTAGAATATAACATAATTAACATGAAGTCGTACATGATGTATATACATCATAGCTAGTCTGTAAAAATAAGTATATATACACAACTGCAATATGGCCAAAATAGTAGTACAATTAATTAGTATCAATTTCATACATGGCATCATAAAATCATTAACAAAATGTTAGCTTAAATACTGTCAACAAAAAGAACCCTTCATTGGTTGGTTTGAAACTAACAAAATAATCATAGTGTCAGAAGGAATTAGTGAACCTGCCATCTAAAAAAACACATAGGGAAAG